CACCCCCAACAACCCCCACCCCACACACCCACACACACACACACGCCACAAACACTCCCCCCCACCCCGCCTCCCCCCTCCCCCCCCGCCCCCGAGCCGCCGCCGCCATGCGCCGCTACGCCCCGCACAACGCGCACGTGTCGACCTTCTCGGCGCCGTCGTTCGGCTTCACGCGCGCGCGCATCATCTCGTCGCTGCGCGTCTTGGTGGCCTCGCTGCCGACGCTGGTGTCGCCGCTGCCGCGCCCGCTGCCGGTGCGCCCGTGCGCGTCGCCGGACGACGACGTGCACGCCGAGCCGCGCCTGCGCGCCCTGCGCCGCTGGCTCGCCATCTCGGCCCCGCTCGCGCGCGAGGAGGCCCTGTCGCTGCGCATGTTCATGCGCCCGACCGCCCGCGTCGTCCGCGCGGAGCCGCTCGTCGACTGCCCGCTCTGCACCGCCCCCCTCTCGCTCAGGGAGAGGCAGGCCGCCGCGCAGGGAGAGGCCTTCCGCCCGCCCACTACACAGCGCTCCCCGTGGCTGCTCAATGGCAGCTGGATCTTTCACCTCGCCGCACTCGCCATGTTTTGGCTCGTGTATGTCTTTCTGGCTCTCGTTGCCCGCATCACCGGCTTTGGGAGACGTATTAAGAGGCGGAGACTCGCATTTCATGTACGCAGGAGTTGGCTTGCACAGCTGGAGGATGCAGAGTGTTACTCGGCTTGGTATGCCGCCGCGGAGGCTTTGGACCACGTTGAAGCCAATTCTAGGTGGAAGGCCGGCGATATTAGGGCTGCCGGCGTTATGAATGGTCTTTGCGCTCGATGTGCAGATACGTGGAACTCGCCAGCCCTGCAGAGGAAGAGAGCAAAGCATGGCAGCGATGTCACTGATAGAATCGAGTCCGTCGTTAATTTGGATATGCTCACGGCTAAACTTAATGAGTTGGCCGTTTTGTACAAGCAGGGGGACATCAGGGGCTTGGCCTTTTCGCTCAGGGCCAGTTTGATACGCAATTTGGGGGGGATGTGTCACCCGGAGCTGCATGAGTATTCAAGAGTCGGCACGAATCAGATCGTCGAGGATTACGTTAATGTCACGTCCTATTTGCTCGCGTATATTGCCCAGTCGCAAAGCCAGCAGACCGGGCTGTACTCGAGGAGGGAGAGCCCGGTGCTTTCCACCTCTGCCCCGATTTCGGGGGTCGGAGCTATGAATGAGCTCCAGCTGGATCCGAGGGATCAACGCTGGAATGAGAGGAGTAACAGTTTGTCAAAGAGAATCATGATTGCTCCTGACACATCCACAGTGCACGAGAGCGACGCCCCCCCCTTGTTGAGCGTGCACGACAAGCTTACCTTTTTTAATGAAGCAAGGCATGCATATGGCCGCACCGCACTCATGCTTTCAGGTGGCGCCGCCATGGGGCTTAGTCACATGGGCGTGGTCAAGGCTTTGTTAAACCAAGGCTTGCTGCCGAGGGTTGTTTGTGGCACGTCAGCAGGCGCTCTCGTTGCCTCTATGGTCGGCATTTTCGACGACGACGAGCTCGCGAGCATCTTTTCGACAGAGTCTTTGATTAATCCCATTACAAAGGTGCCGCTGTCTTTTCGGTTCTTTGACGATCATACTACGGTCCTGCGAAGGATACGCCGGTTTTTGCGCAAAGGGTATATTCAGGACGTGCGAATGTTGCAAGACTGCCTCCGGCGAAACTTTGGCGATTTGACCTTTGAGGAAGCGTACATGAAGACTCGGAGAATACTTAATATTACGGTGTGCCCCCTGCGCAGCTCTTCCGACCCGCCATTATTGCTCAACTATTTGACCGCGCCTCACGTCCTGATATGGTCAGCTGCCTCCGCGTCCTGCGCATTGCCATTGGTGTTCGCCCCGGTGGAGTTGGTGACAAAGAGCGCGAACGGACGCTTGGTTCCGTACCATCCAGATGGCGTGCGTTGGATCGATGGGTCGATTTCGTCGGACGTGCCCCTTTCGCGAATTGGCGAGTTGTTCAACGTCAACCACTTTATTGTCTCACAGACAAACCCGCATGTTATTCCGCGTAGCATGCCCATTCTAAATACCCGGTTTGCGATGCTGGTGAAATCCGAATTTCAGTTTCGATATTGGCAGTTGCTGCAAATGGGAATGGTTCCTAAGCTCCTCACCGCAATATTCCCGCATTTCATGCAACCGTATGCGGGAGACGTGACCATCATGCCGGATGTTCGCTTATCCGACTTGACAAAGCTTTTACGCAATCCGACGTCAGAATCCGTGCACGGTTCAATTCGCAGAGGTGAGATTCAAACTTTTCCGTTTTTGGATCGCATTCGCTTGCACTGCTTGATCGAACAAACATTAGACCGGTCGGTTGAAAGCGTGGCTACGGCCGCAAAGGGTGATGAGACGCCCCTCTCGTCGTCATCCCCCCGGCGGGGTTCAGCGCTTTTCGGAAGGGTCCCATCGTGGCTCTGGCTAGACACTCGCTCGATCCTGAGCAGCAGCGCAATGAAAGCGGTGGCAAGTCGGTTCACGAAACGCGGCGAGCGGGGCGACGAAGAGGAGATTGTGGAATTGGACGACGACTACGAGGAAGGGGCTTCTGAGGCGAGCTCGGACGATGTGATGGTTGCGAAGCGGCGGCGTGGGAATAGAGTGCGGAAGCTGTGTGGTCCAGACAGCGCGGACGTGACACTGGACGGCATTTTAATGGAATTGTCGAGAGAAACGCTTAGCGGCGAGCCATTGCCGGATCCAGTCGAGTATCACTTTCCGGGGCTTGCGGATGATAGCGAGGGCTCAGCAGAGGATGAGCGACCAATGTGCTGACTGACGGCTCTCCGTGGGCATTGAATCGGTACAAAACAAGTTGTACATAAGAACATAATATATTCTCGCTAGGTATGCTAGGTGGTAGAGATGCAAGAATAGAAACACGTTTTCGCTTTTATTGGGATTAGGTTTGCAAGCAAGGCTTCCGTGGCTTTGAGCACTGGAAGAGTGGCAGCCGTGGTGATCGTCAAGTTCAGCGAACCGCCATGTTTTTGCTTTGGACCACATGGAGAGTTAAATCTGAAAGGTCACATGGTTTGCTGTGCAAAGCCTGCGCTTCGTCGAATTGGTGCTCGAGGCCTGACAATAAATGCGGGTTTTGTCAGAATGCTCGCTTTCCCACTTTACGGAGACTAGTCATCAAGGACTGTGGACTGACGTACAGTATAGATGGGTTAATCATTTCCAAATATTCGTGAAGTTGATTCTTCACAGCAATCAAGCCTTCATCATCAACCCCTTGCCTAATGAACTCCAACGAACCCACTTTGTCGCGCGACTTTCTTACATTCCGAGCGCTCCCCGGCCTGCTCTACCTCGATGACTTTATCTCCCCGTCCCTCGAACACTCCCTCCTCTCTGGCCTACATGCGCACCCGCACGCGTGGAAGCATCTAAACAACCGCACGCTGCAAAACTGGGGCGGCCTCCCCCACTCCAAGGGCATGATAGCTACCCCGCTACCCCCCTTCCTGCAACCGCTATGCGCCCTGCTCGTCCGCGCTGGCCTCTTTACCCACGCGTTGCCTCCCAACCACGTGCTCGCGAACCGATATCGACCGGGTCAGGGCATTGACGCGCACGTTGACGGGCCGGCGTACATGCCATGCGCGGCGATAGTCTCGCTCAGCGCACCCATTGTCATGGACTTTTACGCAGTGACAGGGGACCAGCCCGGCATCCTAAAAGAAACACCGCCGAGCGTGAGCTTGCTCCTGCGTAAAAGGTCGATTGTCGTGTTACGCGGGGAGGTTTATACCCAGTTTTTGCATGCGATTGCGGAGAGGGAAGAGGATGTGATTGACGAGCGCATCCTCAACCGGGAAGAAGGGGATGCTCCCGTGATTCCGCGCACGGAAAGGTTGTCGCTGACGGTGCGGCGAAGCTGCAAGACGATTCGGAATCCGCTGATTGGTTTCAAGCGGCGTTGACAAAGGCGTCGGATAGAGAGACGAGACGCACACATAAATGATAAGCGATTAGTCTATTCGCTAGTCTAGTTTACAGCGGTGGCATGTGCATGCCTTCGCGTTTGCGGAAAGAATTGCTATTGCTTCGTAGGTGTGACCAGTGACAAAAACCTAGTCGGGCTGGGCACACACGCCTAAAAGATCAACCAGCCCGCGCTCCCCTCTCGCGGCGCGCGGTCGAGCAAGGCCTGCTTGAGATCGACGACGGCTGACTTGATGAGCAGCTTCCACAGGGAGTTGCCCGCGCGCTGCTCCAGCGCGTCCTCAGTCTCTGGGGTGGGCGGCTCAGGCTTGCGCGCATCCTTTCCCGCGTTGGGAGCGGCGACAGAAACCGCGGAGGCGGCAGCTGCGCGAGCCGCATCAACGGCGACGCCCTCCTCTCTCAATTTGGCTTGCGTGGTGAGGTAGGTACGGACGGCCTCGCTGACGACGGTGCGGACGACTTCGCGCACCAGAGCCTTGTCCCTGATCGCGAGCAACGCGAGGCGCTCGACAATTCCGCTGCCACCCTGGGCCTGCATGACGGACATGACGAGCTGCTTGCTGATCGGGCTTTCCCCGGCGAGCGGGAACGAAGTGCGTGCGGCCGGACTGCAACTGGGCGGCCTCTTCTTGCGCAACGGAGACGCCGCAGGCGAGAGCGTGGTCATGGATGGGATTTCGCACGGCGCAGCGGCCTGGGCCTGCATGACGGCCGGGACGACGGTGCGGGCAACATTGGTGGCGACATCGACGACTAGCTGGCGCCCCTTGTCCGAGGTGAGTCCCGCGACGACGACCTCAGGCCAGGGGCGGTGGCACGGGTCTCTGCGTCGGTCGTTGGCGTCTGCCAAGGCGTCTACGCCTTCTCGTACGGCGGTGCTGACGACGTTGCGCACGACTGCTTGCCCCGCGGGGGCAGCGAGGGCTTCCATCAGGTCGTGGAGGTACTGGGGGGAGTGAGTGTCCGGCACGTACTCGGAGGCGAAGGAGTTGGCAGGGTTGCGTGGCTTTTGTAGCTCGCGCGTGACGCCTTGGGCGACGCCGCCCGCAAGACGGTGGAGCACGGCGAGCGAGTCCGGGGACGAGGCGAGCTTGAGCAGGCGGCGGAGCGAGCGTGGGACCTGGGCTTGAGAAGTGGCGGAGGAGGAGGATCGGCGGCGGGCGGAGGTGGGCTGGAGATACTGCTGGACGTCAGAGGAGGTCTGGGACAGGACGAGGGAGAGGAGGTTGACGGCGTGCGCGGCGCGGGCGAAGGCGCGGGCGAAGGCGCGCAGGCGCGTAAGGAAGGGTTGGCGATTGTGGTAGAGGGCGTACATGAGGAAGGCGAAGAAGATGGAGCGAGGCGGCAGATGGGCGGAACGGAGAGTGACGGTGGCCGGGAAGCGCATGATGAGGGAAGCGGACGGGAAGGGAGTTGTTTTGTTCGGAGAGGGGAGGGGGAATTAGATGGAGTCGGGGAGGAGAAGCGGCAGGAGTTGGAGAGCAGAAGAGGGGTGAGTTGGTGTTGGGTTGTCCGGGGTGAGGCGGGGCGGTGGTGGTGGGGAAGTGAATGTACGGGAAGGGTGGGAGAAAGATGAGAGCGGGGGATTGATTGCGTGAGATGGGGGGGACTGAGAGAGATTCTGTGATTGCGACAAAGCGGGTGAAACGGCGGGCGTTTTTGCGCCTTTCTTTTCAAACCGTTTAAGTTTCCATGGCACCCGCCAATTCCGAGTGGAACATGACTCTTCCCCCATCTCTTCACCATCTCAAACAGATCTCTTCATCATCTCAAACAGATTGTGCTCACCCCTCTCCAGTCAACAATGACGCATCCAAATCCCCTCGTCGCGTACCACGACAGCGCCTCATCAGCCTCGGAAGACGATACAGCCCCCACATTGACTGCGCCCTCTCACGAGTCTGCGGCGCCGGCTGCGTCTGCGGCGCCGCCATCTCGAAACCAGATGTCCCCGAATGAGTCCCGAGGGGCGGGTCGCGCAACAAGTGGGGCCATACGAGCCGCTGTCACCGCGCGTGTGCCACACACAGCTGATATGCCGGGAGCGGGGGGAGATATGGCGGCCGACATGCCGCCGGAGCTCCGGCGCGAGCTCCGACGCGGGGGCCACGCGCTGGATGATGTGACGTTTGTGGACGTGGATGCGCGACTGTCAGCGGCCACACGCGTGCGCGGCGGCGGCGAGGGCACGGCGAAGAGCTCGGCAGTGGCGGCGCGTGCCGGTCGCATCGCCAAGAAGGCCGGCGTGTCGCGCGCAGAGCGCAGGAAGCACCAGATTACAGCCCTGGCCGCAGACGCGGCGGCGCTGGCGGCGGCCAGGCAGAGCTTGGGCGTGAGCGAGGGGGGCAAGAGGGGGAAGCGAAAGTAGGGGGGCGGAGGTCGGAGTGGGGGTGAGGGGGCGAAAATTGTTTTAAATAGGGTATG